TAATGGGGAAAGTAAGAAAAATAAAAGATGAGCCCCTTTGGGGATATACACATGGCACCTTTAACTTCCTAACTGAATGTAAACCAGTACAAAAGATTAGGGGGAGCTGGCTCTTTTGGTTACTAGTGACATGGTTGGGCAAATATGTTTGGAACTCCTGTTATATGCCAAGCTCTGTGGAGGTAAAAACATGAGGAAGAGACAGACACTATTCTTGAATAGATTACAGACCAGTCAAGGTGAAAAGAACATGAAAGGTTAAGCACTATAATACAGTGTGGTCCAGCAAAGGTATTTTGGGAACAGTCAGCCTTGGTGCTTGAGAAGAAGTTCCAGAGCAGGTGATGGGTGTTGAGTTTCTCAAAGGTTCAGTAGGATTTGGAACATGTGGAAGCAATATAGGAAGGCCTGAAGGTAGGGAAGCTCAGTGTGTCTGGTGAGCACTAAGCAGCTTGGGATGGCTGGAATGCAAAGTAGGAAGGAAGGAGAGGGAAGAGATGGAGAAGTGGAAGGAGAGAGGAGGCCAGGGCACACACTGACCAAGCTGGGGTGAAGCCTGGAAACCATCCTAGAGGGTGAGAATATATGAGACAGGCTCAGGTTGGGGAGGAGGATGAAAAGGCAGAGCCATGAGTGAGGAGTTAAATAGAAAAATGTACAGTTTAGGCTTTGAGTCAGAATTTTGGGTAACTGGTTTGAACCATGGGACTTTATCTCTCTAAGCTTGTTTCCACATGCACCTAAGACCATGGTGAGAATAGTTGAGAAGATGCCCAATTCAGAGCCTGGCACACAGATCGGCTTAGTTGGTACTTGCTGTAATTGTGAACAAATGGGGCTGACCACTTTTCTTGCCTTAGAAGTGGCTCTTCTCCTTCTCTGTGCTGCTTGAAGGATGTAGGATTTGGTTGTGGTCCCTGATTATTCACTTGTTGGAGCTACTAAACCAGAGGTCAGGCCAGAGTCCTCCTCCAACCCCCAAACCTGTGGAGGACAAGGCCTGACCCATGTCTGCCTATGGATGGTGACAAAGATTGATACACCTTGAGAGTCCCATCTAGTTGATTCATGCTTTGGACAGGTCATTTTATCTTTCCCTCTCCCTCCCTCCCTCCTTCCCTCCCTCCCTCCCTTCCTTCCTTCCTTCCTTCCTTCCTTCCTTCCTTCCTTCCTTCCTTCCTTCCTTCCTTCTATCTTTTATGTATGTACTAGGACTTGAACAGGAACAGAGCCCAGGTACTGAGTTCAAGTCCTAGTACTTACATGAAAGAGACAAAAAGACAGACAGGAAGGAAGGATGGAAGGAAGGAAGGAAGGAAGGAAGGAAGGAAGGAAGGAACCTGGGCTCTGTTTCTTAGCTTTTTCACTCAAGGCTTGCACTCTACCAATTGAATCACAGCTCTACTTCCAGCTTTTTGGTGGTTAATTAAAAATAGGAGTTACATGGACTTTCCTTCCTTGGCTGTCTTTGAACCAATGATTCTCAGCTCTTGATCTTCTAAGTAGCTAGAATTATAGGCATAAGCCAATGGCATGTGGCTTATTTTATCTTTCTTAAAACTTGAACCATCTGCACTGTGATACTTGACCTTTCCAAGGTACATGATTGCCTCTTCCACGTTCCAGACACACAGTGTCTTTGTAAGTGGCTGCATGCAGTCCCTCTATAAGTGATGTTCATGTCCCTGCTTCTCAGCAAAGTTTCCAAGGCCCAGGATCATGTTGACAACACGTGGACAGGTTGCACTTGACCCTTGCTCTCCTGTGTGTTTGTACAAGGGGAGGCAGGCCAGACTACATGCTTAGGGTAGATAAAGAGAGAAGTAAAACGTTGGAGCAGCCTAAGGCAGAGTACGCTGAAGAGCTGAATGTCTACCTCTGCCATCGGGTCCCCATCAATTATGGTAGAGACAGGCCAAACAACATATTTGGCTGTCCCATTGTTTTTCATTTTGGAAGACTGTGTTGGTTCAGGTAGATGACACCTGATAGCCCCAGCAATCCATGCCAGCCATTGCCAATGTAGGACTCTGTAGGTAGACTCCCCATTCGTGAGCTTGGCCCCAGGGATCCCTTCAGCTTGCTTCACCCTCCTCTAATTGTTACCTACAGTTCCTGTTGCATTTTCAGCTCCCTCCTTAACACCTTCTCTAAAGCAATCACTCCTGCTTTCCCCTCTTGGGACTCGTGAGGAATTCTGCCCCAGCTTCCTTGAACTGCTTGCTTACCCCCAGAAGAATCCAGACCAAATCTATTTGCAAAGGGGAGAAATTGAAGAAAACAGCTGAGTAGGAAGGCAGGAAGAAGTCCTGGGAGGCTAGTGTAGAAACTTGGTCACCTCTCTGCCAGCTGCTTGGCCCTTTTCTCAGCCCTGCCTTATAGGAACCAGGAGACTCACTTAGCTGGTCATAAACAGCAGAAGGTGAGTGCAGCTTCCAGGAGAGTTGAGCCAGGGCATCTGCCTTGCTGCTGGATATTGTTGCACAGACTACTCAGCATTCTGAACTCTGACCCCAGAGCCAGTGGAGGAGGGGAAACTACAGGCCTATGTGTTGGCATAGAGGAGGGAGAGGCTGGTGCAGGGTTGAGTTCAGCAGGAATTGGAATTCATGTGGGTTGATAAGTGGTGGACTGTGTGACAGTCTGATGCTATCAGACACTTTGCGCACCCTTTCTTAGAGGTTATAATTTGTGCAGGGTCCTATGGGTTGGAAGTGGATGGATAGGCAGTACTGAGAACCAAAGTCATTGCCTCTCAGATTTCTCCCACCATCTCCATGATGGACAGGAGACAGGATTAAAGGTCCCTGGTTTGCCCCATGGTGATTGGTCTTTGGAGGGTAAGCATAAAGCAGCATTAGAGAGAATGCAGCCTGAGGAAAAGGCAGTGGTATCTGAGAGGTTGTCCCATATTCCCAGTCCAAGGACACATGGTTGAGTTCACACATGAGCTTTCTTGCCACGAATTATGCTACTAAAAATACTTTGATAAAACTGCCTGATCAGCTGGGCACCAGTGGCTCAAACCTATAATTCTAGCTCTACTCAGGAGGCTGAGATATGAGCATCATGGTTCAAAGCCAGCTCAGGCAGGAAAATCCATGAGACTCTTATCTCCAACTAATAATAGAAAAAGTTAGAAGTAGCGCTATGGCTCAAGTGGTAGAGCACTAGCCTTGAGCAAAAAGGAACCCAGGGACAGTGTCCAAGCCCAGAGTTCAAGCTCCAGGACTGGCAAAAAAACAAAAAACAAAATCTCGCTGGGCTCCAGTGGCTCACATCTGTAATCCTAGCTACTCGGGAGACTGAGATCTGAGGGTTGCAGTTCAAAGCCAGGCTGGGCAGGAAAGTCTTTGAGACTCTTATCTCCAAGAAACCACCAGAAAACCAGAAGTGGCGCTGTGGCCCAAGTGGTAGAGTGCTAGCCTTGAGTGGAAGAGCTGAGGGACAGCACCTGGGCCCAGAGTTCAAGCCCCATGACTGACAAAAACAAACAAAAATAACAACACCCCGCCCCCCCCCCCCAAAAAAAACCAAAACCCTGCCTGATCCCTGAATGTCCTATGTTGCTGAGGCACCTGGGTTGCCAATTTCCTTATTTAGTTCTTTGGCCCTTGAACTTCAGGCAAATTATTAGGTGTAGTTGGCTCATCCCTCCTGGTGCCCTAAGCACAGGGGTCATCCAACCCTTCTACTGAGCCCAATAATAACCAGCGGAGAGAGCTCCATCATAGTGTTCCTGATGACTAGCCATTGGGGTCCTATTTAACATCTCCTGACATGGCCTTGGGTTCCAGCCACTTCTGCTCCACAACATCTTCTCCCTTTCTATTGCCTCTGGTTCCAGGTCCAGGCTGAAGGCAGTGTTCAGAGAAGACACAGAAGATACAGGGGGTTTCGCTGTGTCTGGACTGAGGACTTTGGAGTTGAGACTTGTGAGAAGCAGGGGCAGAATAGGTCACATGTAGATTCTTAGGGAGCTTGCTACTTGATGTGACTACTCATACATGGATAAAACATGTAATACAATCCATTCTGATGGCTTTGGTACAGCTAGTGGTGGTGAAGCTGTGGCTTTTAGAGTGGGGGGGGGGTTGAAGGTATGGGCTTCTTTCTTGACCTATGTACATCAGAGGGTTGAGGAAGCCCGGTTGTACCCTTAGCATATATGCACTATCTTGGCCCTTGCCTAGACCTGCAAACCCTTGTCTGTGAAAGACTAGAGGGCAGGGCAGGGTGGTCTGGTTCCTACATTGAGCATGCTCTTTCTCCAGGAAAATGGAGCTCCTTTTTGAACCCTGAAGATAAATTTGAAAGCCAGTTCTTAGCGCACAGACCTCCTCTTTCTGTCTTATTCCTTTCCCTTCTCTCTTCTCCCTTCCTCCCACCCTCCTTCCCTTTCTGTCTTCTATTTCTTGAGCAGCTGGCATGGGCCAGATACTAGATCTAGTGAGAGACACAAAACTAAGTAAAATAATATAGAAAAACCTGATGTATGTAATTGGGGGGGCGAATGCTTACATAAATATGTCCACAAATCATTTCTATCCCAGATTGCAGTGAAGATAGGCCTTGGGAGTCACATGTATGTACACATGTGCATACATGCACATAGGCACACACACATACACACCCAACTTTGGAGTCTAACTGCTAAGGAGAGACTTTTATGAAGATCTATCTGGAAAATCAGGTGGTAAATCTTAGCTATTACACTGTGGTGAAGCTTACACAGGAGAATGCAAATAGACTGCCTGGCAGTGTTTGGGCTAGGGAAGCACTGAGCAAATGGTGTGCCATTAGTGATTTATTGCTCATTCTCTGTTTAGCTTTCTATTACCCCATCACCACCCTGACCTGTGCACCAGGCCTTGACAAAACTTCTGCAGAGTGAGACTGGGTGTTGACATACCCAGGCTGGGCTCCCTGGTATGTCCTGTCTACTTCCAATGGGTAAATTCAGAAAAAAATAAAAAGAATGAGAAAAAAAAAGACAGGGAAAGGCATGAATAGTTTTTAATTGAAGACCAAGAAATCCCTAGGGGCTTCCCGTGGCTGAGGGTTGGGCCCAGAGGAGGCACTTGGCTTTTTCTCTTTAGGTGGCTGAGCTGTGACCTTCTGCCACGCTTTTGGACCACTCAGTTCTCCTGTAGGTCCATGATGAGGTCCTGGACCCATTCATCTTTGGGGTTGGCACAGATGGAGTGATTCTTTTTGGTGATGAAGCTAGGGAGTGAACCAGAAAGGATTACAAACCAAGGGGTCTAGCAGCCAGGAAGAAAGCCCCCCCCCCCCCCCGCCTCATTCCTTGCCCCTTTCTCTTAACAGAGGCAGTTTAGGACCAGGCTTCCCTTGGGGACAGGTTCTTCAGCCAGTAGGGGTAGGAAGTGTCCTTATGCCCCCCGTTCTCTCTTTTATATTGTGCCTATCCCAGTGCTTGAACTTGGGGCCTGTCCCTGAGCTTCTTTTGCTCAAGGCTAGAGTTCTACTACTTGAGCTACAGTGCTACTTCTAGCTTTTTATGACTAGAGATAAGAGGGCTTTGAACTGTGATCCTCAGATCTCAACTTCCTGAGTAGTTAGGATTATAGGTATGAGTCAACACTACCAGAACTTGTGTCCTCTTTTTCCCCCTCAATGCCTCTTCATCTGTGAATATCTCGCAGGTAACTCCACAGGCTTCAGCCAAGAGTCCCTATATTGCCCCTGGGCTGCCTCTCCAAGAGATCCTGATTCTTCCTTCCCCCCTCTTGTTTGTGTATGGGGAAGGAGCAGATACCTACATGACTCCCGGCTTAGAGCACTCGCTGCTGGTCTCATAGTAACTAGTAATGCGCTCCCGTGAGATGGCACGTGTGATGTAGGTGAAGCAGCACTCAGCCGGGTGGTAAGGCCCTCCTGAGGAGAAAGCACAGGTCAGGGAAGTGGGTTCCTGAGTAACACAACATTGTCCTTGGCTTCAGAGGACCTTGCTCATCTTCTCCCTCTCCACCATACTGTTTGGGCTTCTTTTTCTCCTCCTTCAACAGCAGCCACCTATCTTCCTTTCATTCCTCCTAGAAAGATCAGTTGGTGACTTTCAACCCTAGGCTTGAAGCACAACAAACGCACAGCTTCCCAGTTCGCCCACACTATCCCAGGAACCAACTCAGAGCAGGCTAGTGACGTGCTGATGGTCAACCAGCCCTCATAGGAATATTTGGAAGACATACTAATGGAGATAGACAGGCCACGTGGGGATGCAGATCTAGCCCCTCCCAGTCTCTCATTCTGTCCCCATCAAATTCAGGGCCTGCAGAATGAGAAGTATCCCCAATTAGCCCTAAGGACAATGGCCAAGAAGTTAGGATACCCAAGTTTGAATCCAACTGAGCACTTGTTTTCTTCCTACTGTGACCATTTTACTTTCCCTCTCAGTTTCCTCTACGGAAATGAAGCATTTGGACAGGGTTGGTAGTGATGGTAGGATTCACACTGAGCTTCCTACGGCTACTCTGGGGGGGGAGTACTGTTGTTGTTTTTTTTTTTGGGGGGGGTCCGGTTGTGGGGCCTGAACTCTGGGCCTGGGCGCTGTCCCTCAGCTCTTTAGCTCAAGGCTAGTGCTCTACCACTTGAGCCACTGCGCCACTTCTGGCTTTTTTCTTTTTTGCTTATGTGGTGCTGAGGAATCGAACCCAGGGCCTCAGGCATGCAAGACAAGCGCTCTACCACTGAGCCACTTCCCAGCCCCAGTACTGTTGTTTTTGAGAATAATATATTGGGGACTTTTCCTGTGTTACATATTGGCTTCTTTTTTTTGGGGGGGGGGGTCCAGTCATGGGGCCTGAACTCTGGGCCTGGGCGCTGTCCCTCAGCTCTTTAGCTCAAGGCTAGCGTGCTACCACTTGAGCCATAGCACCACTTCCAACTTTTTTACTTTCTGCTTATGTGGTGCTGAGAAATCGAACCCAGAGCCTCATGCATGCAAGGCAAGCGCTCTACTACTGAGCCACCTTCCCAGCCCCTACATATTGGCTTCTGTGGAAAAAAAAAAGTTTTAAAACTAGGTTAAATGACTTTTCAGCTCACTTCTGGTTATGAAATTTTATAGCTTTTAAAAGAGAAGCAAGAGAATGACGATGAAGTTGTCAGAAGTTTAGATGATAGAGGAAGAGGGAAAGGAGCTGCAGATAAGGGTTTTGTGTAAACCAGCATGAACTGTGGCTGTGTGGGAAAGTCAGGTGTGTGTACATTACGTGACCATGCTGGACAGAGCGAAAGTGTGCATCGCAGTGTCCTCCAGGCCACTGAGAATGTCCGGTTGCTGGCAAGGGAGAGGTAGAGGTTGGTGGGGAGAAAAGATCCATTCTCTTTATCCAGTATCACCCCCAAGGAGCATCTTACTATCCAAGCCTTGGAAAAAGGGATCCCCTGGACCCTAAGATCTGCTCAGGGCTCTGATTCTCCCACCTTAACCCTCTGAACTGACAGGTGACTTCTCAGATCCTACTGTCAATAGATTCCCATGTACATTAGACAAGCGTTGTTTCAACAATCTTGTGTGTTCCTCCTAGTTTCTAAAAAGGAAATGGGATGAAATGGAAGAGTGAAGACCAGTTCTGGTTGTCTCATTTTATGCAATTAACTGGAAAGTGGTCTGAGTAGGACCCACACACCCAGCCCTTCCTCAGCACTGCTGTACTTGTAGGGCATAGGTGAGGCTGGAGACAGGTTGAGCTCAGATCTCAGGAGGCCAGTAGATAAAATGGCCTTCAGGGCTTCCAGACACTGCTCTGCAGTCTCCCTGGGGATAATATCTCTCTGCTGAGTGAGCTACCTCTACTTGACGGAAAAAAGAGAGAGACTGAGAGAATGGACAGGCATCATTCTATGGTCTTAGGAGGAGGGTCTCAAGCCCTAGGGGGAATGGGATGAAACAGTTTAAGAAAGACTCAGATCCCCTTCTTGAGGTCCTCTGACTTCGCCTCCCAGCTACTTTATTTCTGCTTATTTACCCATAGGGAAAGAAGACATAGTGTTATACTCACGTGAATAGACTTGAGCCTTGAACCCTGGGGTGGTGGAGATGAGGAGGAGGAGAAGGAAAGAGACAGTAGCCATCAAGACCTTCATCTTCAGAAGGAGAGCTTCAGGAAGAGAGCTGGCCTATGGGGACTACTGAAGCTTCTGGAATGTGTAATTATTGAGAAATGATCTTGCTGGCAAAATATTTTTTGTAAATAAGGAACTAAGATATTGAAAGGAAGTAGAAAAATGGAGATGGCTTAGCAATTTCGTGTCCTGTGCATTTGTTTCCGGTGGTATGAAGGACCCACGGGGAGCCAAGATTGAAGGGAGGGAGCTGCCCCTTGTGGGAATGGTCTTCCAGTGGAAGCCCTTCCTTAGGTGTCAACCACTTGTTTAGGGCCTGGGGCACCATCTCACACTTAGCCCAAGATCTCAAGGCTGGGATGTGCTCTGTGTCCAATTCCAGTTTTAAGTCTCAGAACATGGCACATGACACCTTGTAATTGGGGTTTTGTTCATCAGAAGACCAGAGGTTCCCTGGGAGAATAGAGGGCATTTTGAGGGTAGTGAGATGAAGTCTAGAGTCCCCTAAGTCAGGCCTCATCAGTCAGAACTAGGAAGTCCTCGCTTACACACAGAAGCAGCCTTATCTCCAGCCCCTTGCCACACACCCTGTGGTGAAGAGGTGCTGACTTGCACGGGACAACTCATTTATGCAATGGTTGCCACTCGCACTAACCACTGTCCCAAATGCTTTAATCTTTATAAAAGCAGTTGGAGGGCTGGGAAGGGGGCTCAGTGGTAGAGTGCTTGCCTAGAATGCATGAAGCTCTGGGTTCAATTCCTCAGTACCATATGAGCAGAAAAAACCGGAAGTGGCCCTGTGGCTCAAGTGGTAGAGCACTAGCTTTGAGCACAGAGAAGCTCAGGGACAGTACCCAGGCCCTGAGTTCAAGCCCCAGGAAGGGCAAAAATAAAATAAAGCAAAAGGAGAAATAAAGCTCAGAAACAAAGTCCATGCTTTGAAAGTTGATAAATTAAACTATGTGCTTTAAAGACTCATGGGAGCCCCAACTAAGCTCTCTAAAAATGTCTTGGCTGGCTTTAGTTTGAGCCCTTTCTGAGCTAGGGAAGTTGGTGCCTTTGGCTTTCTGCCTTTGCTGGAGAGAAGCTTGGTGGGAATGCCTAGTTCAAGGATAGTGACAGATGTCATTAACCAGTGATGAACTGGGGTCCTGTGCCAGAGACCATTCTGAAGCTGTGTCCATGGGGTGAATGCACAGTGATGGATGGAGTTTGTCTATCACAGCTTGCATGCTGTGTACTTGAAATCCTCCAGTCGCTCTCAGCTGGCCACTTCCTGGATGGAAGCTGGGGCTCAGACAAGGGCAGCTGTGTGTTCACGTCCACACAATGGTTTGACTGAAGGACAGATTCCTCCTTGGGGGACTCAGTCTAGTGGTCTTCATATGCTATTCTTGGAGACACTTCTTCCTTTCTCTTTGCTGTTGTAGTTAGGTGTGTTTAATTTCTACTCACCTGGAATCATCAGAACAAGCAATGCCTATTATTTATCTTTGCCCATTGACACAGAGCCTAGTATTTAGGAGATAATTTATAATTATATGTGTTTTTCTTCTGTGTGTGTGTGTGTGTGTGTGTGTGTGTGTGTGTGTGTGTGCAGGTATAGGTTCTGAGATTTTAGGACATGAACTCAGAGCTTGGCTCAAGGTTGGCATCCTGCCACTTGAACCACAGTTCTACTTCTGGATTTTTTAGTGGTTAGTTGGAGATCAGAGTCTCGTGGACTTTTCTGCCTAGGTTAGCTTTGAAGAGCAATTCTCAAATTTCACCTCTTGTGTACTAGCTAGGATTATGGGCAGGCGCCACTGGCACTAAGCCTATTTTTCTTTATTATTTTTTTTAGTACTAGAGTCTTGTGCATGCTCAGTAAGTGTTCTACTATTATGCTACACTTTCAGCCCTAAATACATGTTTTAAAAGAAGAATGTATAAAAAACCTGAGCCATATTTTTCAGGTGAATTCTCATAGTTAGATGGGTAGATAGTCATTAATTAGAAATGTCCATAATGACACTATCAAAACTCCCCAAACAAAATGGTAGGAGTCATCATTCGGAATAATCTCAGAAAACAAGTAGTTTCTGGGAGGAATCTGAGAAGGGAAGAGCTAATGCTAAGTTTTCATGTGTATTGGCCAATCTGCTAAAATTTGGCTCATTGCCTTACAGGAAATCTCTTTATTTTTCCCAGTAATTATTGAGTTCCTACTTCTGCAGTACTTCTATGCTAAACAACCCAGAAGATTAGAGGAAGGTTCACAGTCCAAGGCAGGCCAGTTGTAGGAGGGGAGTGTGTTCTGGGAGAGTTTCCCTGTGCTCATTCAGAAACCAGGGTTGCTTCTACCTTGTGATGCCACCACTTTGGTCACAAGGCCACCAAGCATGCTATGAAAGGGAAGAGAGATGGAGGAGGACTAGGAGATTTTTATGGACCAGTTCTGGAAATGGTATATAGTTTCTGTCACATTCCATGGCAACATCAGAGTTACCTGGTTCCAACCTAATGACAAAAGGATGGAGAATATGTGTCATTGGTGATCAGAAAGAAAAGGGATCCAGGGTAGTGACCATTTCACTTCTTTGCCACAAAATCGTATGCTGATTCTTTGGCCTTCTCCTGCTCTTACAGAACCAGTATGAGTAGGCTTTGAGCAGTCTGTGTCTTAATGAACCGCCCTGGTGGTTCCCTTGTATGCTAATGGTTCACAGTCCTTATTGATAATACAGATTTTGAACTGCTAAGCTGCAACAATTGATATCTCCAGGTCTTGGGAAATCCAACTGGGATGCAGGGAGGATTGAGTCTCAGACTGATTGCCTCCAAAACAAATAGCCTCCTGGTTTCACTCCAGTATTGCACTATTATTTGGAGTCTTAGTAATGAATTAGATATGATTCTTGTACCTATATGCATACCTTATTCTTATTTTTGGTCTCTTTTTTTTTTTTTTTGGCTACACTGGGGTTTGAACTCAGGTCCTCAAGCTTGTTAGAAAGGAAATATTACTGCTGAGCCATACTCCCACTCCTACGTTTTGCTAGTTATTTTTGAGGTAGGGTCACAGCTAGAATACAGGCACATATCACTGAATCCAGTATTCAGAAGGGGTCTTGGGAAGTTTTCTGCCTAAGCTGGCCTGAATTATGGTCAATTTAAGCCTCACAAATAGTTAGAAGAGCCATCCAGTAACCAAGGCACTGTTGTGAGCCTCCGATGCCCAACTGCATTGAAATTTTTTTTTTTTTTAAATTCAGGGCCTCATTTTCCTTCAATGTATTTGCTCTGCTAGCACTCTTCTACTTGAACTATACCTCTAGCCCAGCTTTTTGATGCTTTGTTAGAGATAGAGTTGGACTTTTCTGCCTGGGCTGGCTATGAACTTCATCTTCCAATCATAGACTTCTTTGTAGCTAGGATTACAGGGGCGAGATACTGATACAAAGTATGATCGAAATATTCTTTTTTTTGAGGGGGAGGGTCCGGTCGTGGGGCCTGAACTCTGGGCCTGGGCGCTGTCCCTCAGCTCTTCAGCTCAAGGCTAGCACCCTGCCACTTGAGCCACAGCGCCACTTCCGGGTTTTTCTTTTTTGCTTATGTGGTACTGAGGAATCAAACCCAGGGCCTCATGCATGCAAGGCAAGCGCTCTACCACTGAGCCACCTTCCCAGCCCCTGATTGAAATATTCTTGAAGGACAATAATCCAGTGTGTCTTCCTTCTCATAGTTTTTCCAAATGCCTAGCACAATATATAATAGGCAGTAGCTACTCAGTAATGATCTGTGTGGCAATAAATATTTGTTTTAGGGAAAAGGAGAATGGATCCTTGTAGTGAGGATAATTGAGGAAAGGTTTCATGGTAGCTCCTAATTTGCCCAGGCTGGCTTTGAACCTTCATCCTCAGATCCCAGCCTCCTGAATAGGTAGGATTACAGGCATGAGCCTGGCTAGCCTAGTTTTAATCTAACAGCCCTTTGAGAATTTCCCCTAAGGCTATGAAACTTAATCTCCATGGAGAATTCAAAAGCTTCTGAGCAGTAATGTTATTCTAGAGTAAAATTCAATATCTACCTTTACTTCTGCTAAAACAAAAAGAAGCAGCAGGGGAAGCAGGAAGCTTGGGGCTATGTGTCATGATGGCATGAATTTAGGTGTGTGATGAGAAGAAATCCAAGTATGACTGCTCTTTGGCAGGTCCACAATAATCTCTCTCAATTGGAACAGGAAATTCCAAGAGTCAGAAGAATGTTTGTTTTTATAATGAAATAGCCTTCATAGAAGAAATGGCATGAAGCTTCATGTGAAATCAGAAAAGTGAAATCAATGCTAGGGTTCTCTCTTGGCTAATAGAAAGGAACTGTGATAAAACCAAGAATCTAGAAGAAATTATCATGGGAAAAAAAAATGAAGCAAACTAAAACATAGTGTGATTGTATTAAATGATGGAGTGGGAAAAAATTCGGCTTACTGAAGCCTTCAAAGCTTAGCTGTTTCAGAAGAGAGGAGATAAAACATAACATCAATTTGTGTTTTATCTCTTTGGGGATTCTGGAATTCTTTTTTTTTTGGGGGGGGGGCGGTCGTAGGGCTTGAACTCTGGGCTTGGGCTCTGTCCCTCAGCTCTTCAGCTCAAGGCGAGCCCTCTACTACTTGAACCACAGCACCACTGATTCTGGAATTCTTCCAGCTTTATTTCAGTTTATTTCCTTTTTTAAAAATTCCAACAAAGTTAAATTGAATGTGCTTGATTCAATGTGTAATTTGTTTTAACAAGAACTCATCAGTAAGAATTTGAAAATTAAAAAAAAGTCACATTTGAACATATAATCTTAGACAGGTTCAGAAGCTCCCTATTTGATTATAGAAACACATAATAATATCAGTATTTGGGGGTAGAAGTGGTCAAGGAAGATGTATTCATTAAATGGCTTTGAATTGTAAAACAATTTTAAATTATAATTGAGGCCAAGAAATTCATAGGAGGTGGTAGGACAGGAGAGGTGGAAGTAGGTTAGGTAGCATTTCCCAGCCCCTTTTCAGAGGCAGGATTTCAGCATTTTCATACATTTTTTAACAGATTGATCTCTGGGGTTGGCACAGACACGTTGCCACTTCTTGGTGATGAAGCTGGAGGAAAAAGGAGAGAAAAATTATAAACAGGTGTGTTCAGTAAATGAAGAGGAGGACCCCCATCCTCCCTGTTCTCTGATTCTCCACTCAACCAGGCCCTTCTTTCCAGGAGACAGCTCAGTGCCTGTCTCCTCTCTGGGACACTCCCTTAGCTTTTGAATTCCCCAGTGATTCATGGGAGTGTTCTTGGGAAGGCTTGTGCCTGTTCTCTTCCTCCTCCCTCCCCTCCTCTCTACTAGGAGATGGGCAGTGTGGGATTCTGGGGGAGGATACAAGCTGTCATGACATGACAGGATCCAGAAATGGGACTTTTATGGATTTCCTGCATTAAGTTCTCTCTCCAAAGAGAGAACTCTTGGACTTTAAGCGAACTCCAAGGGAGAATTCTCTCCTTCAGGCTCCCTTTCCTCCAGCAATTGGTTGGGTGGGGCGGGGGGGAATGAGCTTGGCACTTACATCACACCTGGTGTGGAACAGCCACTGCTTGTTAAGAAACAATCTCTCATGAATGCACACCGGATGCTTCGTGGAGTATAGGAGAAACAGCAATCAGAAGGGTAGAGAAAGGCTGTGGGTAGGGAAAGGGCCATTTAAGGACAAAGTCTCTTCCCTCAAGAGTACTGTGGAGAGGACTGGGGAGGGTGAGGAGGCCCAGGACTCAGAGAGGAAGCTTCCTTCTCCTCAGCCAGTACTCACTGTCATCTCTTTGTCTCACACGCTCCCCAGGGTTGGGCTGTGTGTCTAAGGGTACCCAAGGGTGGGCTACAGAGGCCAGATCTCTGCAGAAGTTGGGAAGGCATCTGCAGACACCTGTAGGCATCACAGAACAGCCTCTACTCCCAAGGGAAAGACTCAGGAATCCAGGTGGAAAAAGAGAAGGTATCTTTGGAGGTGGTACCCATGGCCCATGCTGATCTTTATGGAGATGGGTATATGACCACCACTCTCAGGACCCTCCCCCACCCTCCTGTTCTCTAAGCAGGTAAATGAAGCCAGTGTTGTTCTGTACCCACCTGTTGCTTTCAAATGATTCATATCTGATCATTTACCTTGTTGAAACTTGTTTGTTGGTTCAGGCTGATGCTGTACCATCAGGGGTTCTCCTGTTTCTGTATTTAGAAGAAAGAGACAGGTCTGGGGGAGAGATTGCTGGGAGGCAGTCATGTCTCAGCATCTTCACTCACCCCTTCCTCATTCCAATCCCAAGACTGGCAGGCTCTAAGGCTGAAGCACTGTCACCTGCCAAGCACATCTGTCCCCCTAGTACCCTGACATATATATCTGGGACCTCTAAAAATGTTTAAGATATGAAAACATTTTGTTACTTCTAAGATAAAAGGATACCGTCAATCTAATATGGACAAGTTATTTGAATGTCTATAATATCATACAAAGCACACATTTTTCTTCATATTTCTGAAATACCTTGGACTCTGGACATAGCAGATTCTTCAACTCAATGTCCTCTTGAAATGAAGTGAGGCTATGAAATCTTTATTTATTTTGTATAAAGAATCCTAAGTATTTGATTAAAGTATGCTCCCTAGTCATCACCAAAAATATTAAAGTAATATGCAGATATGTGTTATTGTCTCCAAAGCATCAAAATTTTGCAATCTAAAACACATCTAACCCTTGTATTAGATGTATTTAGGTAAATAAGAAATTGTTGATGTGCATTATGCTAATTAGGCTAATGCAAGGAAACTTTAGTTCATTTCTTAGTTACATATGAATCATATTTAATAAAGCATGTGGATAGTTCCTGTAGGCCTGGAATCAAATCTGACACAGCTTTGTCTTCTATATTTCCTAACTAGCTCATTTCCTAATTGTATTATTTATTCGTTATCTGATCTTAAGTATCTAAGGTTTCTGTGCTGGAGGTCTCTCATTTGTAAAATGAGAATAGTAATAATAATACACAAAACTATATAGAAACACTGATGTCTTACTGTTGCTTTCTTTCCTATTAGAGTAGCATATTAAGCCGGGCACTGTTGATTTGCACCTGTAATTCTACTTACTTAGGCTGAGTTGTAGAAGATAGAAGTTCAAAGCCAGCTTAAACAGAAAAGTCCTAGAGACATTTATCTCCAATTACCAGCAAAAATGTTGAGCTGGAAGTGTGGCTCAAGTGGTAGGATGCCAGCCATGAGCAAGAAAGCTGGGCAAAGCAGCACATACAAGTATACACACACACACACACACAAATTTACCTTAATAGCTACCGCCCACAAGGGTATTAAGAGGATTTATTTTTTCAATGCTAGGGCTTGAACTTTGCCTTGAGCTTGCTATGCAGGCTCTACCACATAAGCCATGCCCCTAGCCAAGATGAATCAATGTTTTAACATTTTATAAGACACTTAGGACAGTCATTACTTAGCACATAAAAAAGTTCTAAACAGTGTATTTGCTAAATAAAAAATAGTGATTAGTGGAATGTATCAATCATATTTTCATTTTCTGTTTTGACAATTTTAAAATCTTGACAGCTTCAGAGTCTACTTCTCCCAGACCCAGCCAATTCTTAGAGACAGCAAAGAGTTCAAACAAGCTAATTCTGAGTCCAGATGCCCAGCCACCCCTTTTATTTGATCGTGCCAGTATTACTTTTGCTCCACGTCATCCTAAAACCAGATGTCATACCATGAGAGATCACTACTAACTCCAAAGCCTGGTGGACTTTTTCAGACTAGCCAGTCCTACCCAGTGCTTTGCTCTGGCTCCTTCTTAAGGTCACCAATAAACTCATGCCTCTCGAGCTGCCTCACGATGCTCTCTGTGGTCCAGAGCTGTACCTTTTCTCTGTCTTGGGAAATGTAAGTAATAAGCTCTATTTTCAATGGCCTTAAACTCTCTGTGTTAAGACTCAGTCACTTCTGTGAATTAAAATCCCACAGGTTCAAATGAGAGGGGTGGCTTTGGAGTCAGTTGCCTGTTCTACTTCCTCTCAAAATGATAGCTTTACACAGATTGTACATCATACTTGTAACATCACAGAATTCTATACATCTTTCCACAAATTTACTACTTCACGAAAGAGCTTTTGATCTAGTACTTAATAGTCTGTCAGCCAAGAGAACATATATAACCACAGATGGTCTCTCTGTCTGTGTAGAGTTTTTTTTTCCCCTCTAGAGACCACAGGCTGCAGAGAGAAAGGTCTGTATCCTGCTGCTACTTCTAAGTGAAGTTCCAGAGTCATGTTTGAGATGGCAGTATGCAAGAGAGGGCAGTGCTGCCTGCCCAAGTCTCTTCCCATCTCCCAGACTATGAGTTACTGCAGACCAGAGAGAGAGCCTGAGGCACTCACCATTTATCACCTGGGCTTGGGTTCCTAGGACTGCAGCAAGGGTGAGGAAGGAGAGCGAAGCCATGGAGAACTTCATCTTCTTGGTAGGAAGACAGAGCTGGCCTCAGGAACTTAGACTCACTATTCCCCGACGCTTTGGCCTGCCCTCGTATTTACAAAAGGAGGGTTAAGGAATTACAGGACAGAGTTCAGAATGCTGGACTTGGGCTATAAAAAAGAAAAGAAGGAACAAGGTTGAGAATGCAACAAGAAGTGGAGAACAAACGTGAATTGGGGCTTTCCTAACTGTTCCAGTAGATTCTGTCAGCAAGAGTTAATTATAATTACTTCCCCCACATCTCTCGCATTTGAGATTGAATTTAGGACCTCTCCCCTGAGCCACTGAAGGGTGGAAATGAAGGACATTTAGACTCTGTAGTTAGGGTTGGACTTGTAGACATCATCTTGTTCCTATTTCCACTTCAATTCCTGGAGTCCCTACCAGGGAGGACTAGAAAGGTTAAGTGTCACCAGAATAAGTGCTGGAACGCCTCAGGATTAGGGACCCTGAGCTCTCCCTAGGCACTGATGACCTCATGGTCTAACCACTCCATTTGGGATCTTTAGGTCTCCCCAGAGGTGACCACTGAGGGGACACTAACACATAAACATGGCCATGGGACTTCTTCACATAGTACCAGAGTTATAACTCCAAAGTTATCTGAGTATGGAAGGCCCTTTACAACTAGATTCTTCTTTTCTAACTCTGGGCCTGGGTGCTGTCCCTTAGCTCTTCAGCTCAAGGCTAGCGCTCTACCACTTGAGCCACAGCACCACTTCCGGCTTTTTTCTTTTTGCTTATGTGGTCCTGAGGAATCGAACACAGGGCCTCATGCATGCAAGGCAAGCGCTCTACCACTGAGCTACCTTCCCAGCCCCCTGAATTCTTCTTTCTTGTATGGTTTTTCCATTTCTTAGGATGATGGTACTTTAGTTTGTATTAAATTGAAAGTTAACACATTTACTAATGTAGATTTTTTTCTTTTAGAATGAATACATATATTTCAGGATCCAATACCAGTGCCCCAGTGGATAAACGGGTCCTACTAACTCATCGTCTATATTCAGGAATCTTGACTTTTTCTCTAGACTGGGCCAAGTATATTCCTAAGGTCTTCCACAGCGTCTCAGTCTTAATCTACCTATAGTTTCCGTCAGACTCTATTTTAAATATTTACTTAATGCTATCTTATTCATATACCAATTTTCTATTATGTGTGTGAGTGGGACTAAAACACCTAACACAAAATGTATCCTCTAAGTATAGTTACAAGATTCTGGAACATTTCCAAGGATGAAGTAAGTATCATAAGACAGGTTTTGTGAATCTCCAAGGTCAAGTGTGGAACAATGATAATAATGATAATGAAGTTCCTTTTTTTTTTTTTTGTCAGTCATGGAGCTTGAACTCCAGGCCTGAGTGCTGTCCCTGAGTTTTTTTGTTAAGGCTAGTGTTCTACTACTTTGAACCATAGTACCACTTCTGGTTTTCTGATGGTTAATTGGAGATAAGAGTTTCATGGACTTTCCTGTCTGGGCTGGCTTCGAACTGAGATCCTCAGATCTCAGCCTCCTGAGTAGCTTGGGTTACAGCTGTGAGCCACTGGTGTTGGGCTAAGTTTTTTTCAATTGAGGAAAGAATAATCTAATGAAAAATTATTGGAAAAGGAATGTGCATGAGATTTTCATGGGTGGAATATTGAATAAACAAAAATGTTTCATTTGAAAGTCACTGACGGCTCATGCCTATAATCATAGTTACTCAGAGGCTGAGATTTGAAGATGGAGGTTTGAAACAAGCTAGGGTAGACAAATCTTAGGGATTCTTATCTCCAATTAAGCAGCAAAATGCTAGAACTGGAGGTGTGTTTGGAATGGTTAAGCTTCAGACAATGAGCGAGAGTTCCAAGCCCTGAGATCAAGCTCTAGTACACACACACACACACATTTGCCATTTAAGCAAATTATGGTAAAAAAAATGCTGCTCTCTAAGTTTTCATCAAACCTCAAAGATTAGCTTAAAGTTTGGGAGAGCAGAAGAGATGAGACATATGTAAAATTGTGTTTAACTTCCTTGGGATTGCATTAATGTTCATCTTTCGTTACTCAGGACTTTTAAAATGTGCACATTAATTATAAAATGTGAGGAGTTTCATTGTAACTTTCCATACATGTATATAATATAGTCCACTTATACTGACCCCCTATTAGACTTTCATGCCCCTCCTTTACCTATCTTTCTTAATCTGTTTTTAAAAATGGGCTTTATTATGATCTTTTCATAGATGCAGACAAAGTATGATCTTATCCTCCCTCCTCTTTCCCCTCTTATTCCTGCCACCCCCCAATAGTTTCCCTTTTTATGTTCTCTCTTGCTCTCTAACTCTCTCTCTTTGGTGATTCTGGGGTTTGAACACAGGGCCTTGTGCTTACCAGGCAAAGCTCTCTACCACTTGAGCTAGCCCCTCCCTCCATCTCTTTTTGCTTTAGTATTTTTCAAATATGCACTGGCCCAGCCTGGACTATGAGCCTTCTATTCATTCTTCCTAAATTGCTGAGATCCAGATGTATACCATCACATCCAGATTTTATTGTTTGAGGCTGGTCTTGAACTTCAACCTTCTTGCCCTTGATCTCTGCCTCATGAATAGCTATAGTCAAAATTTGAGCTACCGTGTCAAAATCCCCACTCCCCACCCCTTAGATATAGATTTTGCAATGAAGAAAAAAGTGGTATTTATTTTTTTTGTGAAATTGACATATTTCATTTAACATGATGATCTCCAATTCCATATATTTTTCCTGAAAGTGACATAATTTCATTCTTCTTTATGGATAAACAGTACTCCTGAGTGTATATAAACTACATTTTCTTTATACATAGTTTGGCTATTGTGAACAATGCAGCAACTGTGGATGTGCAGGTGTTTATACAGTATATGGATCTACTGCTCAGGAATCCAGCAAAGATCTTCAGGCCAATTTAATGTTTCCCTTGCTAAAGGGTCAAAAACATCTTTGGCATATACATGATCTATATTTGAATGAGCCATGGTCTTAGTTATCTAAAAATTAAACTACAATGTCTTTTGTTTTGAAGATATTTTCTGAAATAGATTAATTGCTTCAGATTTTCTTCTCTTAAAAATAACAAGTAAATGGGGCTGGAAAGGTGGCTCAGTGGTAGAGTGCTTGCCTCCCATGCATGAGGCCCTGGGTTCGATTCCTCAGTACCACATAAGCAGAAAAAGCTGGAAGTGGCTCAAGTGGTTAAGCCGTGCCCAGAGTTCAAGTTCAGACCCCACGACCAGCAAACAACAACAGCAACAAAAATAACAAGTAAATTAGATACTATTTCAGAGCAACCCATTGCTAGAGTATGAGGACTGCCTGCCCTGAGAGACTGTGAGACCAAAGAAAGAATGGCACACAGATCTAGGATTGCTTGGAGTGAGATTTAAAGGGAGTACTGACTGAAGGAATGGTATACCTAGGTGGCTGTGGGACTAGTTAAATCCCCATACTTTGAATCAGAAAGAAGGCATATATATAAGTCAGGGCAAAATTATTTCATCCATGTGAATTTCTCTTATGTTAATGACAAAAATTCAGGCACATTCTTGAAGCCAGGGTCCCATGGTAAAACTCTTCACACTGCTGTAATAGTTTTTTGCATTTATAATTTACCAAGAAATTATGCTAGAAAACCTAATTAGAGTGATTCTGGGGTAAGTATGTGGTTACGACTCAAGAAGCCTGTAGTCACATGAGGCTGCATGCACACAGACTCTGTTTATTAGATGCATTGCTTTAAACCAGAACAGAAGAATAAACATTACAAATAATAATAACAATAGAGGCCAAGAGACCCCCAAAAGGTAAGTAGGGTCAGACAGCTAAAACTGGGATGAATAAAAATTATATATCTTCTCCTTTATAAATGCCTAGGTCCTGAGCCCTCGAGGTCACGTTCAGGATTCCGATGCAACTCTGAATTCTTGAATCACTGGGGTTGGCACAGACACGTTGCCCTCTCCTGGTAAGGACACTGGGAGGCAAAGAGGTGAATGATTATAACTTGAGATATCCTCAGCGAATAGGGGAAGGGAGACCCTCCTCCTACTCTCCAGTCCTCCCTTCAACCCATCTGTTCTTTTCCTTCTCTGCAAAAGATAGTTCAGGATCTGTGTCCTCTCTGAGACTCCCCAGTGGCTCATGGAAGTAACCTTGGAAAGTCTTCTGCCTGCTCTCTCTCTCTCTCTCTCTCTTCCCCCTTCCCCCTCATGCAGGATTGTGGTGGAGACACAAGCTATCCACCTGGCAGGATTCATAGGAGGGACTTTTCTGGATTCCATTCATCAGGTCCTGCCAACAAGACCCTGCAGGCTCCTTCTCCCCCAGTTCAGAAAGGGTGAGCATGGCACTTACATGAGACCTGGCAGGGGACACCCGTTGCTTGTTAAGAAATAATCTCTAATGACCGAGCATCGGATTCTTCGGGAAGTGTAGGAGAAGCAGCAGTCAGATGGACGGCTAATACCTGCAAGAGGAGAATGGGTCACTTAAGGTCCAAGTATTTTCCCTCCAAAGAACTGTGGAAGGGTTAGAGGAGGGTGAGAAGGGCCGGGTCTCAAAAAGGAAGCTGCTGCTTCCTCCTCTGCCAGCTCCTGGCTTCACACCCTCCTTAGCATTGGGTTACATGTCTGAGGGTACCCAGGGTGGGCTATAAAGGGCCAGAGCATCTGTGCAGAAAGGGAAGGCATCTGAAGACACCTGCAGCTATCAGAAAACAGCTTTTAAGCCAAGGGAAAAGACTCAGGAATCCAGGTGGAAATGGAGAGGTTATCCATGGCCCATATGAATGGTCTTCATTGTTCACCCCTTCAGGACCTCCCCCCTTTCCCCCTCCCCCCACCAACTCCACCCCCACTGTCCTGTAAACAGGTAGGTAAAGACAGAGTGCCAATCTGTACCTACCTGCTTCTTTTAAATATATGTACTGTCTGGTCATTTACCTTGCTGAATAATTGTTGGCCCATGTTGACGCTTTGCCTTCAGGAGTTCTCCTATCTTTGATTCTGGAAAAGATCAATGATTTTGTGAGAGAGATTGCTGGGAGGCAGCCTTACCTCAGCATTTCCATTCACCTTTTCCTTTGCCCAGGCTGGCCTTGAATCTGTGATTTTCCTGCCTCAGCCTCCCAAGTGCTGGGATTACATATGTACGATATCATACTTGGTTCCCTTTATCTCCCGTTCTAAGGGAGATTGGCTCTGATGCTGGAGCTCCATCACCTGTGTTAGTTCTAGGCCTACCATTGGCTATTTCCCCCTGGTATCCTGAAAAATTTTAAACCATGAAAACATTATACAGCTTCTAAAATGCTGAAGGCAAACTACAAGTCTAACATGGACAAGTTGATTAAACATCTATACAGTGAGATTCAGACAATTCTTTTTCTTTTTGTCAGTTGTAGGGCTTGAACTCAGAACCTAAGCACTATCCACGAGCTTTTTCCTCAAAGATGCTGTTCTACTACTTTGAGCCATAGTGTAACTTCCAATTTTCTGGTGGTTAAGAGTCTCATGGATTTCCCTGACTGGGCTGGCTTTGAACTGCTATCCTCAGATCTCAGCCTCCTGAGTAGCTAGGATTAAACGTGTGAGCTACTGGTGCCCAGCTCAGACAACAATTTTGATTATACATTTCTGGAAATTTCTAAAGATCTCTGGAAATGGCAAGTTCTTCATCAACTTATTTAGGGGCACAATGTTCCTTAAAATAAGGTACAGTTTTCTTTTTCTTTTCTTTTTTTAATATATGTTTTCTATTGTAAAAAAGCTGTACAGAGGGGTTACAGTTACACGAGTAGGGTAATGAGTACATTTCCTATAGAGCATGCAGTTACAGTTTTCATTTATGAATAGTCATTCTATATTTGGTTTATGAATAGTCATATGATTTTTGATGGAAGTATACATCCCAGAAAATGGCAGTTTATTTGCACGAATAAAAATTATACAATGAAAACTGCTGAAACTGTTTTAAGAAGGGGGAGAGGAAGGCAGAGAGTGATGGAGAGGGGAAGGTGGATTGGAATACCTATACACATGGGTGAAAATGTCACAATGGAACACTCCATATATGGCTAGTGCATGTTAATAGAAAAAAGATTGAAGCCAGGCATCAGTGGCTTATGCCTGTAATCTTAGCTACTCATGAGGCTGAGATCTGAGGATCACAGTTCAAAGCCAACCCTGGTACAAAAATCCATGAGAATCTTTTTTTTTTGGGGGGGGGGGGATCTGGTCATGGGGCCTGAACTCTGGGCCTGGGCACTGTCCCTCAGCTCTTCAGCTCAAGGCTAGCGCTCTACCACTTGAGCCACAGTGCCACTTCCGGCTTTTTTTCTTTTTGCTTATGTGGTGCTGAGGAATCGAACCCAGGGCCTCATGCATGTAAGGCAAGCGCTCTACCACTGAGCCATCTTCCCAGCCTCTCCATGAGAATCTTATTTCTGATTAACTACTGGAAAAAAAAAGCTGAAATGGCAATGTGGCTCAAAGTTGGTAGAGCAGTAGCCTTGAGCACAAAGCTCAGCAACAGTGCTCAGGCTCTGAGTTCAAGCTGTAGGACCAGCATACACACACACACGCACACACGCACACACATGCACACACACACACACACACACACACACACACACACACACACACCTGGGTTTACTTTCATGTGAAAAATTTTAAAAAGTGAAATTAAAATAAGGTACGTATCTAAGACCCCACCAAGGATATGTAACAGTCAGATATGCATGTATTCCTTTTATTTTATTTTGTTTTATTTTTTTATTTTTATGCTGGTCTTTAGGTTTGAATTCAGGGCCTGAGCGCTATCCCTCAAGGTTTTTTTTCCTCAACGCTAGTCACAACTCCACTTCCAGCTTGTTGGTGATTAGTTAATTAGAGATAAGAGCCTTAAGTCTTAAGGACTTTCTTTCCCCAATTAGCTTCACAATTCTCTACCACATTTTATCCATCCATCCATCTATCTAGTAGTGTTTGAACATATCCAGGTAGAGTGTTGGAACCTTTTGCTTTGTGTGAATATGCCCTACGAACATGAGCATATTAAAATCTTTTCATGTACCTACCTTCAATTTTTTCATTATATACCCAAAGTTAGAATTGCTTTTCAATCCCCCTATAATTCTGTATTCCAAGATTTCCATAGCTCTAATGAATTTGGGCATGGAATTGTAGACCTGCATAATGATAATTAGGCAGCTGCAGCTCAACTTTCAGCTTTCCTTTCTTCTCTTTTCTATCCTTTCCCCCCACTTATCTCCTTTCAAATTTAAATGTGGTTTATTTCCACAATTCATTACATCAGAGAATAAAGCCAGCTTTAAAACTGCTGTTTATTGGGGCTGGGAAGGTGGCTCAGTGGTAGAGCCCTTGCCTTGCATGCCTGAGGCCCTAGGTTCGGTTCCTCAGCACCCCATAAGCAAAAAAGAAAAAAGCCGGAAGTGGCGCTGTGGCTCAAGTGGTAGAGCGCTAGCCTTAAGCTGAAGAGCTGAGGGACAGCACCCAGGCCCAGAGTTCAGGCCCCACAACCGGACCCAAAAAAAACCACACACACACACAAAAAAACAAACTGCCGTTTACCTTAATATCAAAATATACTGGTGTATTGTGTCATAACTTGATTTCTGGAATTGAAATTTCTTGTACACTACTTAATAAAAATAAATAAATATGAAAAAAAAACCATAACGGCAATAAAGATTCAACTATCAACTTAGTCCACCACTAGTTTTGTGTTGTTCTTAATTTTTTTTTTTTTCCAGTCATGCGGCTTGAATTCAGGGCCTGGGTGCTGTCCCTGAGCTCTTTTGCTCAAGGACATAATTCTACCACTTATAGCTATAGCCTCACTTCCAGTTTTCTGGTGGTTAATCGGAAATATGCATCTCATGGACTTTCCTGCCCCAGACTGGCTTTGAATCATGATCCTTGGATCTCAGCCTCTTGAGTAGCTAGGATTACAGGCATGAGCCACTAGCACCTGGGTCCACATTTTTTATAACCTCCATATTTGAGGTTCTTCATCCATCCATACAGTCAACCAACTTGGGACTGAAAATATTCTTTTCTTTTTTTCTTTTTCAGAGCTGAGGACTGAACTCAGGGCCTTGCAAGTCCTCTTACACTGAGCTAAATCCCCCACCCTGAAAATGGACTTTAAAAATGTGACATCAGCATTATACTAGAACCTGACATATGGAATTATAACCTCTTTATACAACTACTTAAAATACAGTTTAAGAAATGTTGCATCAGTACTGAGTATGTAGAGAGCTTGCAACATCTTAAATCAATCTCTTAATTGAGATTTTTAGAGTACCAGGTAAGGTGTGCGCAGGTTACGTAATGACAGGAACATACCATTCTAGCCATGAAAAGAGAAATAACTGTCTCCAAAAGGAAGCCAGTAATCTGTGTAGAGTTTTCCCAGGGACCACAGGCTGCAGAAAAGCAGGCTTGTATCCTGATGCTGCTCTTAAGAAAGCCCCAGAACCATGATTAGAGAGAGGGAGAGAATGGGATGACAGGGCTGCCTGTCCATATCTCCTCCCTAGGCCATGAATTACCGCAGACCTGACCTCTAAGGAGAAGCTAAGGTACTCACCATGTATGACCAATGCCTGAGAACCCAGGGTAACAACAAGGAGGAGGAAGGAGAAAGCAGCCATTGGGACATGCATCTTCTTGCTGGGCAGGCAGAGCTTGGCCTGGGAATGCTGGAGTCCCTGCTCCCTAATTTCTTGACCTGCCCTTATATTTGTGAGAGGAGGATCCCCAGGAAGTCACAGGGCTCAGTTCAGAGCGCTGCTCCTTGGCTATCTAATGTTCAACACACGGTTTCTAAAAGAAGGAACAAGACGGTGGACGGTGAGTGCAATAGGAAATTGAAGGCTCAGAATGCAACAGGAAGTGAGTACAAAGATAGTCCCTAGGGAGTTTCTTAAACTGGCCCAAATGCATACAGGCTGAGAATAAATATTTTGTGGGGGATCCTTCTCCTAAGAGACTCAGTAATCTGCTAAATCAGAAGAGTTTCCTTTTTCTTTCTCAGGACTTAACCACCTTGAAGTACCCAGTAACCCATAAACATGGGATCCACCAATAAAAACTCTAATTCATGAGAGTGTGACTCCTCACACAGCGCCTGGAGATGTATTTGATGTCTTCTTTGTCTCTCATCCCACATCCAATTCATGAATAAGTTCTTTTAGCCCTACCTTTAAAAACACATGCAGAATCATGCTACTTTTTGAAAGAAGAATCCATTTCTTCTCTACTCTTCCATCATTCTAAATACTTCCCTTTCTGATACTATCTCCCTGGATGTTGTGTAGAATTCACAGGTTAATGGCTTAGCCCTACAAATTTGCCTCCACTTCAGGTGTCAGTGGGAGTTGGCTGATCTCCAGATTTCTCACATCTTCTTTCTCTCTTCACAGATTGAATCTTCAACAGTCCATAGAAATTAAGAAACCAGTTTACTTGCTAGATTTCCTGTTGATTATAGGCATTACAAAGAAACAGCTCATTCAAAGAGATGCTGGTGATCAATCCAGCGTTTTGTTTTAAAAAAAATTCTCCAAGAGATTAAAAAGGGCTAAATCTAAGTGTGGCTGCTTCTTTGGGACTTGACTTTGGCTGAGTTACTATCCCTTCCCCTCCCTTTCCCCTTCTGTTGAATTGCTTCTTGTCCCTTGTCCTTAATTCTTTGGCAAGGATTTGCCCAGCATTCAGAATTCTAAAGAGAAGACACATTTGAATCCTTCCTTCCTTCCTTTCCATTCCTTTTTTTCTTCTCTTCCTTCTTTTTTAAAATTAGTACTGGGGTTTGAACTTAGGGCCTCATACTTGCCACACTGGTACTCCACTACTGCATTGTTTATTTTTATGATAAGGTCTTGTATTATATCCTAGTCAGCCTGAACAGTGATTCTGCTATTGATACTTCCCAAAAGCTGGGGTAAGAGTTGTATGCCACCATTCCCAGTGATCATTTCAGATGGAGTCTTTTTTAGTTACTTATTTTAAAAACAGTATTTTATTTTATTGAAAAGGTGATGTACAGAGGAGTTTCAGATGGAGTCTTTCAAACTTTTTTCTTAGCTTGCTCTTGAACCAGCTATTGCCCTAATTTATACTTCCTTAGAAGCTAAGATTCCAGGCTTGTGCCCCTGTACCTGAGTCATATAGCCATTTCTTGAAAACATTTGTGACTGGCTTTTGTGTGTGTCCTGAGTCTTTTATTACTTTTTTTTTCCCTCTCTGCTAGGCATCACTGGTGTGACAGTTAAGATTCAGTGAATCTTAAATGTTCCAAAGCTTGGCATAACCAAAGGCTGTACACTGTGCTGCTCCACAAGCTACACCAGACCAATAATGACAGTCAGTGCTTTCCATGTTCCAGACATGGTGCTACTTATAGACATCTCACAACTATCCTACAGGGGGGTTGCTGTAATTGTTTCACAATATTGCCTGGCACACCCCACAACTTCTGGCCTTACAGAAATACCAAATATCCTGTAAGTGCAGCTCTTACTACATCCCAGGATATAAGCTTGCACAGTGTGCTTATCTGGCGCCGAAGTAGACCAAGGATCAGAACACTTGAGTAAAAATGTTTTCTCCTTGAAAAAGCTTCTCTTCATTCTCTGCCCTGCACTGAGTCTAGAACTTTTCTGCTGTTGCTTCCATTTCATTTTTCATTCATTCTTTAGCCACGCATTGGGAATAAGATCCCTAAGTGTTCACAAAGTCTCAGAGTGGCTGCCCCAAGTACAGCTCCCTTCAGAGGAAAGGGTCCTGACACTGGTTCTTCCCTGCACAGGATGCTGTTGCTCAAGTTCCCAAGTGACGTCGTCCCAGGCACCTGAGCTCATCTGATGGACTAGGGACTGGGCAGAAGCAACATTACTGGTGTAGGGCCTGAGTCAAACAAGCTGTCTCTGAGCTGACTTCCGAGGAACAATTCCCATTAGCCATTATCCAAATTAAGGATCGGCACAACAGCCCAATCAGTTCTAGTGGAGTGAAAAAGCCTGGTGAACAAAGCAGTTTCTGCTGATGATTGTACTAAACAAAGGCAAGTGAGTGTATTCTAGCATTCTCTCTGGCCAGCTGCACATCCTGTTAGGAATGGCAGTCATATGCGTGCAGTCATTGGAGCCTTGCACAGCAGGACATAGATGTGTGATTTAGGTCTAGAATCCTTCTTTACCAATATGACTATGCTTATGTAGGAGAATCTGCCTCTGTCCCAGACACAATATAAACTCTTCTGTTCTTTAGCACCTTTGTCAAAGGCATCTGGTCAACCTCACTACTATGTCCATTACTGCTGGAGAAGAAATAGGCCACTGCCCTGTATTGGTTGTAGGATGGTGCCATTGGCTGTAGGTTACCAGTGCATACTATTGAAACAGATCCACTCACCAGTGAAGGACTGTTCTATTCAGAGCCTGTGTAAGCTCTGTCTTCCTTTGGGAATCCTGACAATCAGAAACCATGCAGTGGGTTGACATCTTGAGATGGATGTCTTGTACCCCATGCTTTAGAGAGCTCTTTATATCTTAAACATACTGCATCAATCACTTTTTGTTACTGTGATAAAGTACCTGAGAAAATCAACTTAAAGCAGGAAAGGTAGTTTTGGTTCAGTGGTGCAGAGGTTTCAGTTCAGGGTCAGCTGGCTTTGTTGCTGTGGGCCTGTGGTGAGGCAGAATGCCATGGCAGGGATAGCATGTGGCAGAGAAGGATACTCTCCTCGCGGCAGACAGGAAATAGAAAGATTGGGTCAAGGCATACCCTTTAAAGGTGTGTACTTAGTGACCCAATTCCTTTAAGTAGTCCCTACTTTCTAACGGTCCATTAGACTATGAACTCATCAATGGATTAATTTAATAAAGAAGTTCAAGTGAGTGAGTTTCTTTCAATGGTGCCACCCCCTGGGGATAAGCTGTCAACATATGTTGAAGGGGATACTGTTATGTTAGGGGGATACTCCATATCCAAATTATAACACACACAAAACCAAAAAAATCTCTCTCTCTCTCTCTGTCTCTCTCTCTCTCTGTCTCTCTCTCTTGGTCTATGGCACTTAGTGCTAGCTCAGCTTGGCTCATATACTAAAATCTACTCTTGGGTCAAACATGGTGATACCTCAAAGAAATATTCTTCAATCTCTCTTGCCCCACATTCTCCAAAAGAGACACACAAGTCTGGGTACTAGGAAGGTATCTGGGTGGTGCCACTGCCACACCAGAGACAGACATTCCTTTGGGGCATAGAGAGGACTGAAGAGCCAGGAGTGTGTTAAGAAGATCGAGTTGGGAAAGTAGTCAATATACCTGCCAAAATCTCACCTCCATGAGAGGGGGTAGAAATGCATTCTAGCATAATGCAGGTGGTTCATCCTTGCATATTTTTCTAGCTTAATCTTCTCACAGGATTCACAAACTAAGACTTTGTGTTGAATAGTTGCAATATTATACAATTTGTTTTATTCTCAAATTTGTGTTCTAGTTTCATTTATAAGTTTAAAAGATTGTCACATCTGACATGGGAGCCTCCTTTTGGATTCTTTCCCTGGGGTGAACCCTATACATACCAAGGTAGACCTACAGAGACATGGTAGCTGGTTAGGAGAATTCCTGGCCACACACTTCCCACATATCCTTATTGCAAATGTCTGTGATTGGAAATAATCATGTGTTTCTCTTTGTGCATGATTTGATGTGGTCTGATTATTGCATGTGAAAAGCATTCTTCTTAAGTAATAAGAGGAATGACAGAGCTAAACAACCCATTCCCTTTTTTCCCTGACATCTGTAAGCTTGATTCCTTAGAGAAACCAAACACATTCAGACAAAATCTCCTCAAAGAGGTTCATAGTTAAACTGTATGCTAAAAGTCCTTCAACTGTCTTTTGCCTTATTCTTTCTTGGAGACTTCAGAGGAGGACAAGATAGATCCCTTCCAACTGGGAGGAAGAGAAAATGTAATGAATGGGCTAGCATTTGACCCAGATTTCAAAAGTTGGGCAGAGATTATGTTCTATTTCAAAAGGCAGATAAAGGAGGAAGAAAATTCTTGCTAGAGGTAAGTTCAAATAATAAAAACAGTATTTGTACTGACATAAAAGCCACTGTGAGGGGCTGGGGAGGTGGCTCAGTGGTAGAGTGCTTGCCTTGCATGCCTGAGGCCCTGGGTTCGATTCCTCAGCACCACATAAGCAAAAAAAAAAAAAAAGCCGGAAGTGGCGCTGGGCTCAAGTGATAGAGCGCTAGCCTTGAGCTGAAGAGCTGAGGGACAGCACCCAGGCCCAGAGTTCAGGCCCCAGGACTGGACCCTCCCCCCCAAAAAAGCCACTGTGAAATAGGAACAACCATTATCTTCTTTTCCAGATGAGAGAAAGCATAGAGACTAGATCGGTGAAGTAATTTGCTAATATTTGTTGGGTGCTCACATACAGGTTATGAATCAAGGTCTGTCTGATATTCAAGATAAAGTCATGGGAATTAAAGGCATATTTTGGGCATGTGTATACCTCACAATAAGGTGTAAATAAAAATTATTATTGACCTTTTTGGTGGTACTATGGCCTTGTTTTTGTTTCTGCTTTATTTTGGTATGTTTTTGTTGTTATTTTGCCAGTATTAGGGCTTGCGCTTGAACTCAGGGCATGACACTTGCTCAGTTTTCTTGCTCATGGCTGCCACTCTACCACTCAAGCCATGCTTCCAGCCCTACCATTTTAAAATGAAACTTCTATATTGAGATAAGTGTATATCTGTATGCAGTTGTAAGGCATAATACAGGGAAATGCTGTGTAGTCTGTATTCAGTTTCTCCAATGGTAATGCAAG